ATATTGTATTTTTTAATTAAATGAATAATTTTTTTGAATTTGAATTTGAAATTTGAAAAATAAAGTCAAAATATATGAATGAGTAAACAATTCAGCAATATTGTTCTATATATTAGTAACAGAATATGTACAAGTTCATAAAATATTGTAATGCAAGGCTAGACAAATTGGACCACATTTGACCCAAAAGTGACAGTATTGTTTATGTCTGCCTGGTTTTATAAATGCTTTTAGCCTAATTGTGCAGCTCAGTGGGTAAGTGGTTAGCACTGTTCCTCAAAGCAAGTAGGTTCAGGGTTTAAGCCCTGGGTTGAGCTTGGGGGTCTCTCTGTTTGGACTTTACATGTTCTTGTCACGTTTGCATGGGTTTTCTCTGGTTACTTTGTTTTTTCTCATGGTCCAAAAAAACATGCCCATTAGGTGGCCTTCAGGCCCATGCYTCMTTARCAAAAGAGATCTGTGATCTCAATGGAATTAGCCAGGTTAAATAAATGTTAAATGTAAATTATAAAATGAATTACTCTGTGTGGGAAAAAAAGAAGAAATAAACACGATTTTGTTCGAGGATGAAACTGCAGTCCCCCATTTTCTACCTTAATCAGACAGCCATGGTATTTACTGTATCATAGTGTGCCTCATTTTGGTTTTGGAAAGCATGAAACCATTTGAGACTGAGCACAAATAAAATGATTCTTAGCACCACGTGAAGCAGGTAAAGGTTTTAAAGACRTGCAGACATGTCACCAGGGAGAAAATACTTAAATTAAATCAAAGTTTTATTGAAGGTTATGCCCTTGAAAGCTTTTTTTAATGTTTGTTTGTTTACCTCGATGTGGCATTACCTCCTTGTTTGACATTGTTAAAACATAAGAACTGAAGAGATCCAGTGTTGTGGTTTTGAAAGACGATAAAACAAGTCCTGTTTTTGTCTCTTTTTACGAATAAAAAATATTTACACATTCATTACTCTGGAGGGTGGGCAGTTTTCCATCTCACCATTTTGTTTTAGAGAAGAAAGCTGTTTTTTATCTTTTATATATTATTTTTTATTGCCATTTACGTTTGCTGTAATTTGAATTGTAGCTTCTGCAACAAAAGTGTGTTCCGCGACAACAGTTTTCAGCCTCTATGAATGCAGTGTTCCAACGCTTTTATTAGGGTCAAATAGTTAATTTGACTAACTGTTTAAACACTTTTTTGGCTATGCTTAATAGGTTTCTTAAAGTTGTATAGATTATGTTTATGCTGATAATATTGACAGATGTCATGTAATTTGAAAGGGCAGTAAGTTCTCCCAGCTGCTTTAAGGCCCTGTCGCACTGTAATGTTTCAGACAACTTTCGCCAACTTAAGAAATTTTAATGCCTAAATTTCTAATAAAACTTAAATATTTGATCAATTTGTTAGCATTACAG